CTCAAAGCATCCATCCTCAAGAGAAACGTTCTCACAGATCGACAACGTCTGGATGAGTTATTTCGTAACATCGAGTTAGGAGATCAGTCAGCTGTTAGCATGCTGGCAAGAATGAAAGAGATCATTGGCCAAAGTCAGTTCGATGAAGGACTGTTTAGAGAACTATTTTTATCCAAACTGCCACAGTCAGTTCAGACTGTACTTGTGACACTTCAGGGTGTTCTCATAGATGATTTAGCTGTCTCTGCAGATAGAATTCTAGAGATAACGAAACGGCCAGTTACCGAAGTATACTCTGTTACCGAACAGACTTCGAAGAAGGATTCTGCAATGATAGAGTTAATCAACTCCGTCCAGCAGATGCTTAGGTCAAACAAGCCTAGCAATTCCTCCTATCGTCGTTCTAAATCCCCTCAACGGCAAAGCGCACGTGGACGATCTAAGTCCAACACACGCTCTCTCAAAAATCCTGACTGGTGTTGGTATCACAACACCTATGGCAAGGAAGCGAAATGTTATTGAAAACCTTGTGATTTCGGCAAAGCCTCCAAGTCTGTGGGAAACTATCCCGCCGGCACGCGTTAGCGGCAACCGTCGCCGGTGGCACTAGCCGCTTACTTTACATCCATGATGTAATTAGCCAGACTAGATATCTAGTCGACACAGGCGCCGAAGTCAGCGTCCTTCCTGCTACAGCAGCAGATCGACAGAAGGATCCTAACTTCAACCTACAGGCTGCAAATGGAAAACCAATTGCAGCCTTTGGTCGGAAATACGTCTATCTGAACGTAGGTTTACGCAAACCTATTCAGTGGATTTTCCTAATCGCTGACGTCACAATGCCCATCATCGGCACGGACCTACTTAATCATCATGATTTGCTCGTAGACGTCCGCCGTAAACGACTAATTGACAACACTACTAGTTTGTCTATCAAAGGCATAACTTACAGTGGCCCCAGCTTGTCAATCGTTAAGATGAAAGCAATCCTCGATCCAACTTTTCAACCGATTGTTGACAAATATCCGGAACTCAACTGCCCATCTAACGATCTCCCGTGTATAACCAGCAATGTTATGCACCACATCATAACCTCAGGACAGCCCGTGACATCTAAAGCACGACGACTGGCCCCTGACAAACTGAGAATTGCCAGAAACGAATTCGATCGTATGCTCACCCTTGGCATTATTCGGCCATCGAATAGTCCATGGGCATCCCCATTGCATATGGTACCGAAAAAGGATAGTAACGATTGGCGACCCACTGGTGATTACCGGCGAGTGAACGCCAAAACAACCCCTGATTGCTACCCTTTGCCTCACATACACGACTTGACGGCAACGTTATCTGGAGCATCTATATTCTCCAAAATCGACTTGGTTAAAGCATATAACCAAATCCCGATGGCAACGGAAGATATTCCGAAAACGGCTATCATCACGCCTTTCGGACTTTTCGAATTCCTACGTATGCCATTCGGCCTCCGGAATGCGGCCCG